CCGTTTTTACAGAATTTACATCGAGATATCACATTTAGGACACAATGTGATAAAGAAAGCGTTTAAATGAAAATCAAAGTGAATAAGCACAAATTAAACATCCACTAACGAGGTTCTCCGTGAGGAAGTCGAACTCAGCATCACGCGTACTGCTTACGTTATGCACATTCCCACCACACTGAGTCTCACCTCGACAAGAAACAACCGCGAGCAAAAATTGCAATAGCGTTTCTCTTCGGTCAGCTTCATTTTAGTAATGTTACTTCACATGCTCTTTTTTACGGAGGCCATCTTGTTATGCGCAGTAAGAGATGCGCAGTGCAAAACCAGGGAATCACCTTAAACTAAAGTTGTCCATTTCGCTTTCTTTTGTCCTGTTTCCTTTTTTTCCCCGCTTGTTGCTATCATGATCAGATATGGCATCGCTATGATCAATGTTATGGAAACACTGGAGTATCCAGGAACTTTTCAACCTCGCTCAGGGACGGCAAGCGTTGGTCATCATCTAAATACGACAAAGCTTTAACGTGCGGACACTCAAACTAGGACACTTGGAAGAAGGTTGTCCAATCATGCAATGCAAATGGACCAAAAACTCATAAACTTGAGGACTGATTCCTGAGAGGTCAGGTAAGGTCAAACGGTTTTAAAATTGAATTTTATTGATCCGTTAGCAAAAATGTTGAGATTCCTTCGTTTTCAGAAAATGTTGTGACTGGACAATCTCCCTCCAAGTGTCCCGATTTGGGTGTCCTTACTGTAAAAGAATTCTTAATCTTAAAGGGATGATTTCTGATTGCTATTCTTCAGTTACATTTCTCTGTTTTTCAGTTACTTCTTTGAAATGAACTGACCCTTTTTTCAATAAACTGGGTGCGCGATTAATTAGTGCCACATACCTACATAGAGCCCGCTAGTGAAAGCTTCGGGGGACTATTTATAAGAGCCCGTGCCTGCTGATATCGAGAATCACTGGCCGGACTAAAAAATCTGGAAATTAACAAGAAAAAAATGTTTTGGGGAGCTACATTGACTTTCTGGCAATCCGTAGCGTTCGAAAAGACCAGGCGCGAGAGAAGGCGCCCCTAGCTTTTCTCTCGCTCCCAAAAGCCCCTTTTCCTTCCCTTTCAAACGCCTTCCACGCCGGCTAATTAATCAGCAAATAGAAACTTTTATGGAATAACTGAAGGCTTTCGAGTGAGAAAGTCTTTTTTACCCGGGTATTCCTTTGCGACTAAGGGTTATGAGTAATTCTCGATGATCAATTTTCATTTTAGATGTGTGAGAACTTTGATGTCTTCTTTAAGGGAATCTGAATCACGTAATAGCGTAGATGAGTCCCGCAAAGTGATCAGAGTCACTATTTTGGCTTCTGAATGGGGATCAAGCAAAGGGGGACTTTCCACCATAAACAGAGAGCTAGCCATTCAGTTGGCCAAATGCCCTGAAGTGGAAATCACTTTCTTTTTACCACAATGCAGTCAAGAGGACAAGAAGTTAGCCCTGAAGCTTAACGTAAAGATCGTTGAGGCAATACCACTGCCTGGCTTTGAGCAACTGGACTGGCTTTGCTTTCCGCCTGAAGATCTGCAAATCGACATTATCGTAGGTCATGGAGTTAAACTCGGTAAACAGGCACAAATCATTAAAAGATCTAAAAGGTGCAAATGGGTTCAAGTGGTGCACACAGATCCAGAGGAACTTGGAATGTTCAAAAACTATTCAGATCCAATTTCAAAAGGCGAGGAAAAGCACAAGACCGAAGTAGAACTGTGTGAAATGGCGGATCATGTTGTTGGTGTTGGTCCCAAGTTGAGCGAGGCCTTTCGCTCCTATCTTCGCAGCTGCCAAAAAGATGACAATGTTGTTGACTTCACTCCGGGAGTATTTGTAGAGTTTGCGGCTGTGAAGCAGGCTCTGAGCGAAAGGCAGCAACACAGTGTCCTGGTGTTTGGTCGTGGAGACGTAGAGGATTTCGAATTGAAAGGATTTGACATCGCTGGGAAAGCAGTTGCTGAGTTAGAAGATACTCGTCTTGTCTTTGTTGGGGCTCCAGATGGAAAACACGAAGAAATAGCAAAACGGTTGACCGAATTTGGCGTCCCACCAAGTCGCTTGAGAGTAAGAGGATTTGTTCAAGATCGAGAGAGCTTAAGGCGCTTGTTTCAAGAAGTGGATCTTGTTGTGATGCCTTCAAGGACAGAGGGCTTTGGATTGACAGGACTCGAGGCCTTGTCAGCTGGTCTCCCTTTGCTTGTCAGCCGCAATTCCGGTTTTGGAGAAGCTTTACGTAGAGTACCTTTTGGATCAACATATGTAGTGAACTCAGAGGAACCAGCAGATTGGACCTCTGCTATCAAAGCAATCTGGGTTAAGGACAGAAGAAGTCGGCTTAAGGAAGCGGAAACTCTGCGCGAATCCTATGGCAAGAAATACAACTGGGCCAAACAGATAAAAGATCTCATTGACAAGATGATCAGTTGGGTTAACGGTAAGATTATCAATTTTCTTTTTTATAAAAAAAAATTCTTAATGCATTGCAGAAGGAATATAGGAGGTGGACTCTATATAAGAAGAAATGAAAATAAACAAACAAAGCAAAATTTGAGTAATATCCCCTGCCTTTTTTCTCCCGGCTGAGATCGTGAAAAAAGTCCATTACAAAGTTTTATGTTACATGTTGGCAAACGCAGTAAAGTAATATTGACCCAATCCATCTATCATATGCTTTACCCCCGGTTCACTGCCTTATGTGATTATTCCATGCATCCGCATTTACCAAAACAGCCTGTTGTTATCTATTCTTTTTTACCAACAGATGATTCTTTAAATTACCAGTGCTCTTCAGAAATAAAACGCAGAACTTTCCAATCCACCCATAAATCTTCTCAGCGAACGGAAGGGACAACAGTAGACCCTGAAGGTATCCCCGATGACTTAAAAATAATCAGCGTAATACTAGTCTTGAATGGTGTTGCTGGTCAAAAGTGTTTTTTGTCTTCATTAAAATTGTTAACATTATTTAAATGCGGCGTTTTTTCTAAGTCCATGGCTTACGCATGCGTGGATGAAAGATAACTAAGTTCACTTACAAGTACATACCGCTGAGGCAGAACGGTTGGCTTTGGTCTGTCTCGAACAGGTCTAGGATTTCCCTCTTTCTCCGTACATTAAGTTCAAGAACATCAAAACTTCTAGAATTCTCGAATCCGCCCCCCCTCCTAAAAAAAAGGTGGGTGGAGAGGGTGGTAGGGAGGGAGAGAGAGAAGAAAAAAATAATTTGCTGCATGTGAGAACACGTGCTATTTGCGTATTTTCACTGTACAAATTACTGGATCACATTAAGCCTAAAAAGCTACCAAAAGTATATTGCTAAGTGCCCTTCGGGGGCACCCAACGACGGTTACCTCCTAGAAACATTGCAAATACTTTTGAGGCCATCCTGAGCCTTTTTAGATATTTAGAAGTGTATTCTAAGCTGGGCTATAAAATTTGTGCCTGCTCAGTCATCCTAGGGAAACTTGAGTCCATTCGAAATTAAAAGGGCTTTAGTATTATTTTCCAGAAAACTTTAGATGTAATTTAACCTATTACGAAAGTGAGAATTTTTCTGATTGCGCTCTCCATCACATTTTTGAATCCGGGAGTGAAATGAGAAAAATTAAACTTCAGAAAATCGTAGGGAAGTTATTAGATGCACTTCGAAAATTGTGCATAAATAGAACGGTAATCTAGAAAGTTTTAGCCGTCCTCAAGTGATTGAAAATTCTGGGCAATATTTACCTCTCCGAAAAGATATTTTACAGAAAACAGTCGTTGGGTGCCCCTGGTTTGCCAAAATATTTGTTTGGAGAAGGAAATATTTCCTACAAATTTTAGGATCGTATTCATGTTTATCCCATACAAACACTGTAATTTTACTGGAACCGTACTGTGGTACTATTACAAAGCCTGGGTTACCTGTCAAGTCCCTCACCGTATTAGACGCCTCCGTACCCACTACTTTTAAGCGGCTGCTACGCTGGTTAGCTAAAGTTAAGTAATTGACTATTGTATAGTGTTTTGGAATAGTAGTGTTTTATTTTTGAGTACTGTTTATATTAACTGATCAGTGAAAGGAATTAGGACTGTATGTAATGGGGATTCTTGTTGTTGGTTGTAGGCTCCTCTTCAGTTTCAATGTCTACTCGAGGAAAAATGAATTATTCTCGTCTATGTCGTCTGCTGATCAGCGTAGGCTCGCGAGTGCTCAGAGATACATTCGATAGCATTATTCCACCGGAGAATCTTCGAGAATTGTTGAAACGTGACCCGGCGCACTCCAGACTACAGCTACTGCGAAAGAAAGGAGTCCTAACTTCAGTACATTGGAGTAGGTTGTACCCTGCCACACCCACTGAAGTGTCATCTGCAAGTTTTGATATCCCCCTCTTAATTGTGCTTCTAAGGACAATCTGTAATCTACGTCCTCCACCCGCTGGCTGGGATACACCTCCTCTTACAGCAGACACCAGTCGCGAGTCTGACATTGCGCGCATTAAGTACTTCATGAACGCCGTATCCAGACATGCCACTGAAGGCTCTTTCAGTGATGCTGTATTCAATAGCTACTGGCAGCAGATCCGTGACACACTGGTACGATTGGGTGGAGCTGATTATGAAGATCTCATTGATGAAATGAAAGACCAGGACATTGAATTCCTCGATGAGGAACATTTCAGAGAACTTCTCAAGCAGTGGAAGAAGGTAGAAGACGACATCAGAGACAGGCTGAATGAAGTGGAAAGTGAAGAAGCTTCTAAAGAGAAAGGTGTGCTATACAGTAGGCCTTGTTAGGAGATACAACCCAGCCAATTTGTAGGTTTTAAACTCTTTAACACTGCGAACTTAGGGTGGTTTGATTAACGGGGAATATACTATATGTATCTATGGAAAAGTCGCCGGATCCTGCAATTGCTTCCATAAAAGACCTTATTCATAATTTGACGTTCCAGCACCTATAAAATGTTAGTTTCATGTGTCAGTAACTTCAAAAACATCTATCCAGGAAATACTCTCATGACCTTCCATCTCTTGGAATTGTTTAAACTGTTTCCCATCAACTAGGTCACGAACAAGCAGGGCAGAACAGTGTAGGATGGGTTGATCCTGAAAATTTTTGAATTTCAAGCTTCGTTAAAGTCATACCAATTACTAACAAAGATTCTTTCGGCTAATTTTACCGCTATTTCCTTTGAGATTTCAAGTGATCTTGTGGTAATTAAGCCACTAAGTGTATTTAAGTGTATCACGTTATTAAACGTTGTATTTCTTGGTATTTCTTGGTCTCCTGTTTTAATTCTTGACATGTTCATGCAGATCCCGGAAGGGCGAGTAGTGCCAGTAGTCCCATTAGACCTGATGTTGCTGGGCCTTCGGATTTAACCAAGCAGGCTGATCATAGCCAAGGTATACAACTAATAACCCTATTAATGTGGCGACTACCCACTCCCAGTGTTAACAAGGTGATGGCGACGAATCGAAAAATATAATTACAGTCACGTGTCCGTCTTATTAGAGAGATGTCTGTTTACAGCGAGTCACCTGAAAAGGAGTCAAGAAAGGCAGGGACGAACTCTTGCTATCCGTTTTAGCCAGGTGCCTGTGTTATGGAAGTATCCGTTTAAAAGAGAGAGTTGACTATCGCAGGAGCGTTTTTTTTATACTTGAGTGCAAAGAATGTGGTTATCAATGTAGTCGTACATTGTATGGTCTTACGGCGGAATTCCACTGCAAGCTGTAATTCAGTCTTTGATTCATTACAACAAACTGTTATCTAAATTGCTCCGGTTCTGTCGAAATCACCCATGGCTGTTTCTTTTCTTCTCTTCCTACAGTTGTCATCCGACCGATTTATCTGTTGTGACATCCATTTAGTTTTTATAGTCGCAAAACTTGCACATGATCTGAAAACTTTATGTCAATGATTGTTGTGGAAGCTGCAACAACCATGTGGACCTCTTAGTTGGTTTTTTTCAAAAGCCAAGGTCTTCCAGAGTGTCTCTTTTTTATTTTATTTTACTGGAATATATGTAAGGACTGAATGGGTAACAGTTTCAAATTTCAACATAGTTTGTTTTCAAATTTATGTCATTTCTAGCATCTGGTGCATTACGAGCTCACAATGGCCTGCTCTCCAGTTGGCTTGATTAGCTTAATTAATGGATAGAGCGTTGCGTCTGGGTCAATCGCAAAGGTCAGGGCTCGATTCCCGGTTAAGCCTGAATTTTTTTAGGTTCTTCAGTCGCTTAAATTGTTTATTTAACTGCAAAGACCATTTTCACTTGCATATTGTTTTCAGAGTTGTTTCAAAAAACGTTAAATACTAATCGGAAGAAGGAGTATAACCATCTGACATACCCTTCAGACTACATTAGTTCCATTCTTATTCTCATCCATTGCATTTAAGCAGATAACGCAAACGCCCAGAGCTCCTCAGAAGCAGAAACCTGACTGAGCACCATGGGGGTATTCAGCTTTAGAGACTTAAATGAATTATAATAAATGTATTTGTAAATTTACAGGAAAATTTTTTTTTTTTTTTTTATCTCTTGAGGGTATAATTAAATGTACGGAAAAACGGGCAACAAAAACGTACAACTTGTCTTATAACATTGCTGCAAAACGAGTTGAATAGCGATGTTGCGCGTTTTACCACTCACGTTCAAACCTGTTAATAACCTGATTTGTTGTAAGACAGGTTTGATGTGTTTGGTAAAACGCGCAACATCGCGATTCAACTTGTTCTGCAGCAATGTTGCAAGACAAGTTGCACGTTTTTTGTTGCCCGTTTTTCCGTACCTTAAGTGTACCATAGAACGTTGAAAACAAATTTTAATCCAATCAGAGGGAACTTGTCTTTGCTTTTCCTAAAATGAAGGTGAATTTTCCCCGCCACCCACTCCTCCGTAAGTTCATAAAGGGTAAAGCTATCACTTTTGTTTCGCATGCATAGGTATAGGCAAATCTTTTCAACGAGAACTAGGCAGTGAAGAATTTTTCTCGGCGAGAACGCATGTCCTTCTTGTTTTTCACGACGCTTATTTCTCCCCTTCTTTCCTCACTTTTGAACGCTTGCCATGCTGGCGACAGTTTTGGAGCACGTTAGAACTTTTTTTAGGCGAAACTTGCCTTTGTTTTCTAACGTATTGAATAGCGAATAAAGAGAATTTAAAACAAACCAAATTAAACGCGGCTTTATTTTTTTTTTCCTAGGTCTAGGTTTGCCATACCCAACCGATGTCATAGAAAAGATCCGTCAGCTCTACAAAACACGTGAACGACGTCTTCTTCCCGTCCCTTGGTTAGACGAGTTTAGCTTTCATTTGAATGATATTTTTACCAGATTAAAAATCTTGGGCAAAGAAAAAACCCAAGGAGTACTTACTGACGATATAACCAATATGACTGCTATCTTTAAGGCGCACGCAGAATGCCAGAGACCGCGAACAGTCTTGATCGAAGGAGATCCTGGTATGGGAAAAACTACGTATTGTCAGAAGCTGGCGTATGATTGGGCAACTAAGCAGAACGAATGGAACCCGTGTTTTCCAGAGATTGAAGTGCTACTGCTTCTCAAATGTCATGAGATTAAATCTGACATCTGGAAAGCTATTGAAGATCAAATTCTTCCCGAGGAAATGGACACTCAAGCTAAGGAATGCTTCTTTAAATTCATTCGTGAAAATCAGTCCAAGGTTCTTTTANTTTTTTTTTTCCTAGGTCTAGGTTTGCCATACCCAACCGATGTCATAGAAAAGATCCGTCAGCTCTACAAAACACGTGAACGACGTCTTCTTCCCGTCCCTTGGTTAGACGAGTTTAGCTTTCATTTGAATGATATTTTTACCAGATTAAAAATCTTGGGCAAAGAAAAAACCCAAGGAGTACTTACTGACGATATAACCAATATGACTGCTATCTTTAAGGCGCACGCAGAATGCCAGAGACCGCGAACAGTCTTGATCGAAGGAGATCCTGGTATGGGAAAAACTACGTATTGTCAGAAGCTGGCGTATGATTGGGCAACTAAGCAGAACGAATGGAACCCGTGTTTTCCAGAGATTGAAGTGCTACTGCTTCTCAAATGTCATGAGATTAAATCTGACATCTGGAAAGCTATTGAAGATCAAATTCTTCCCGAGGAAATGGACACTCAAGCTAAGGAATGCTTCTTTAAATTCATTCGTGAAAATCAGTCCAAGGTTCTTTTAGTTTTCGATGGACTAGACGAAGCGGATACTAGTAACCTCAAAATGTTCTCTAACCTCATTGAAAGGAAAGAACTTTCAGGTTGTTACATTGTTCTCACATCTCGTCATGAGGCTGGAAGGAATGCAAGGAGGTACTGTGACACTCTGTGGGAGATTGTAGGATTTACCCGGGAAGATGCAGTAAGCTTTATTCATAAATACTTTAAAAACGTCAACAAAGAATATTTAACCAGGAAGCTCATAGAAATGGTATGGCCTGGCCCCTGGTCAACTGAGCCAGGACAACATCAAGATCTGCGCGATTTGACAAAAAATCCTTTAAACACTACTTTACTTTGTGTTATCTGGGAGGATTTAAAGGGCGTTTTTCCAACGAGCAGAACTGAATTGTACATTGAGATTGTTCTGTTTGTTTTGGGAAGATATGAAGCAAAGACAGGACTATCGAGGGAGAATGAAGACCTCTTGTCCGTCTACAGTAAAGACTTGTTGTATCTTGGAAGAATGGCGTTGGAGTCTCTTCAAAACGGAGAATTGTATTTTGAAGAACATAAATCAGGCGGTCGCTGTATCGTCCTATCCAAGATCGGATTCCTTTCACTTCAGCCTGCTGCAAGCAAGAGGAAAGTTCGTGCGCGTTACGCATTTCTTCATAAGAGCTTTCAAGAATTCTTTTCTGGTTTCTTTCTTGCTTGCAAACTTATTAAAGGCGAAATTAGCTGCGAGTCAGTGGTGACGGACCAAAGATATGAGCGTAAACTATATCAAGTATTTGCATTCTTGCTTGGGATACTTGTGTCAAAAAGTAAGGAAACGGCAGCGTCTCTCGTTAAAAGCGTGGCTGCAAATATCAATTTCACAAGTCTTAAGTTAGACAAAGACGCAGCTAAAGACGTTTCAAAACGTATATTATTTGCTCTGAGTAGTTTATCGGAGCACGCAAGTTTACTACAAACCTTAGGAGAGCACCTTAACTTTACTCAATTAAATTTGACGGAGAGCCTGATTGACAATTCTGGTGCTGCGTCCCTTTCCCAGGCTCTTGCGGTCAACTCCTCCTTAACTAGTTTGAATTTGAGTACAACCTTGATTGAAGTTTCTGGTGCTGTATCTCTCTCCCAGGCTCTTGCCGTCAACTCCTCCTTAACTAATTTGGATTTGAGTAACAACCTCATTGGTGATTCTGGTGCTGCATCTCTTTCCCACGCTCTTGCAGTCAACTCCTCCTTAACCAATCTGGATTTGAGTGGGAACAGCATTGGTGATTCTGGTGCTGCATCTCTTTCCCAGGCTCTTGCAGTCAATTCCTCCTTAACTAATTTAGATTTGAGTAGGAACTTGATTGGTACTTCTGGTGCTGCATCTCTTTCCCACGCTCTCGCAGTCAACTCCTCCGTAACTAAGTTGGATTTGACTGGGAACAGCATTGGTGATTCTGGTGCTGCATCTCTTTCCCACGCTCTTGCAGTCAATTCCTCCTTAACTAATTTGGATTTGAGTAGGAACTTGATTGGTACTTCTGGTGCTGCATCTCTTTCCCAGGCTCTTGCAGTCAACTCCTCCATAACTAAGTTGGATTTGACTGGGAACAGCATTGGTGATTCTAGTGCTGCATCTCTTTCCCACGCTCTTGCAGTCAATTCCTCCTTAACTAATTTGGATTTGAGTAGGAACTTGATTGGTACTTCTGGTGCTGCATCTTTTTCCCAGGCTCTTGCAGTCAACTACACCTTAACTAAACTGGATTTGAGTTTGAACCATATTGGTGATTCTGGTGCCCCCGAACTGTCCAGTGTGTGCAAGGTAAATGCAACTGATGAACTGTTTTGGTAGAGCATGACAATGATGATAAATTGACGATCAGGACGATTATAATAATGATGCGAGTAGTGTACTCCTTTGAAAATTAAGCCCCGTTGGTGTCGAGTAAGTGTCGAGAAAGGTCGAGGTAAACTTGCCCAGACTTGCCCGTTAAGTAACTTTAGCCCGGTTTGTTGGACCGTCTATTGAATAATGGGATTAAGAGGAGCGATCACCAAGCAACGGCAGCGCGAAAAACAGCTTATGCCTTCTATTTAGTGCTAAAAACAATTCGCGTTAGATAGCTAATGCGTCTTAATTTGAAAATGGAATAGTTTTAATTTTGAATGAGCAATCCGCCTGACTTTATCATTCAATTTCGACGGACAGTTTGAATACGGGATTATCCGTTCCAGATAGCCTGTGTACAGCCGTCCTCTCCCCTCAGAAAAAAATCGGAGAAGGGGTGTCTGTCGGGAAGGGGGCGACTGTACACAGGCTAGTCTCAGACGGATAATCCGTTTCTAGCTCTAGTGTGAAAACGGCCAATGACAAAATTCCCGTGTCCAGTGTTTTTAATGATAGCGAAGGACTGTACGGAGCCACTGTCAGCCGTTTCCTTGTCGGTAGGCCTCATTATTTCTCGCGGCTAATGCTTTTCGGGTCACGTGGTCCGAGCGACTTCGCCACCGAAATGCCTTGACCGAGATTGCAGGGGAAGAAGCCGTACAGGGACTAAGCATGGCAACGTCTACCGTAGCGTCAGAGAAAAACAGGAAAATGTTGTTTATCGGCAACGTGTTTTCAAACAGTGAGACCTCTACGTGTTGTTTCACTAGTGTTTCGAGGGCACGACCTCCTGAAAATCGCAAATATTAATCCCCCAGCAAGAAGTCACACTTTCACCATGGAAAAAAACATAAGTTCCCCAAGAGAGCGGCGGAAATGGAACCAGGGTCTTGGTCAACACCTAAAAGGCGCTTCACCTAACGTGCGTACGGAGCAACACTAGCCGGGAAATAAAAAATGCAACCATAAGTGAGTTTAGTACCTTCCTTAAAATTAGCAAATCCAGTGAACAATTTCTTTTACGGTTAACTCTTTTTTACCCTATTTACGGCTAACGGTTAAAATTTTTCAATTTTTACGGCTATCGACTAAATTTTTGGCCCTTTTACGACTATCGCTTAACCCCATTGAGACCCTCAGTCACCACCTAACCAGCCGAAACCGGAAACGGGCTTTGAGAAAGTCTACATCGTAAGAAATCTGAATAGACCATTTTCGAGGTATTAAAATTCACACTTAGCTCGGAGGCTTGGAGGAATAAAACAAAAGAAATCATCTTGAGGCTCAAAAATGAAGTGAATACATCGGAATTGGTCTAGTGATATTGCTATTAGAAATCATGCATTTTGCGTGCAACCTACATAGAAGTCAGTTATCTGCTAGCAGATAACTAACTTATCTGTAGGTTGCACTGATTTCCAAAATTAGCTGTAGGCTCTTAGCCAATGAGAAGACAACTAATGAGTACAATGTGTAATAAGTGGCGCTAATCAGGGGTTCCTTATATCGATGTTAGAAGTAGAATAAGGTCTCGCTCCTAAAAAGTAAAAATGACGTAATTTCAGTAAAAATTTGCAAGCTAAAAATACAATGTTAGTTTGTAGGAAGAAAAAAAAAGTAAATAAATAAAATAAAATTGAACATCACAAGAATATTATATGATTGAGTTTAGAAAATTGGGTTCCGTCTTTACGTTCTAAAAATATATCGCATTATGTATAGAGAACAAATGAATAAAATATTACAGTAAAATAAGAATAACTAAATAATAATAATTATAAATATGTCGCCTATTAAGGGACGGACCATTAGAAAACTTATGGGGGGGGGGAGGGGGGGCGAAGTACAAAAAAATATTCGCGCAAGGGAAAATTAAATGAAAAAAAATTCATGCACGCCAATTAACCCTAAAAATATTCATGCTTCGGCCTAAAAAAATTCATACAAGGGATTTGATGCTGCAGCTCGAAAATCCCCCCCCCACCCCTTCCCCCATAACTAATGGTCCGTCCCTAAACACTCTCTCAACTAGCATTGTCTGCGTTCTTATAGTTACTGTGCTTTGTTAAAATCAATCAAATTAAATGAAAGAGAAGAGATTGGCGAAGTATTCTCTAAAAAGTGCTCGTCATCAGCCGGGTCACTATAATAAATATACCTCTGTCCTGGGTCAGTCAATTTGACACAAAAGGATGCTTTACATGAAGCAAAGTTGCTATGAAACGCATACTCCGGTGAATCGCAGGCTCATTATATTTTCACTGCTTTTGACCTGCTTTTGAATTGAGTTGAGACTTTTTGGAGTCTTTTTTGGTTTCGTCTTGGTAATTTGCGGTTGAAATTCGCTCACTAGTTTCGTTTGCGGAGATAGAATCCATTTTAAACGTCTTTTGTTTTCTTGTTGTACGTTCATAACGTTTTTATGAAGCTGTTTAGACATGTCCCCCGTTAAGGGGGCTGAGAAAGTGGAGACTGACATATTTATTCCGCTGAGGAAAACGCCAGCTTTTCATCTTCTTGGTTCTGAAACATTTGCTGGACTTCAATAGGATGTCTTCACCTTTAGTTTGTACGCTTTTATTCAGATGGATTCTTCCACTAGTCTTGTTAGGAGGTGGGTGTGTTTTTTCAGTATCCAGTGTGGCACCGGTGTTTGAGCAGTTAGCCATCACGGGCTACAGCGCACCTAAAAACAAACTTGCAGACGTTTTTTGATCGTATTGTTGTTATAAACCAGTCAAAAAATCAGCTTTGAAGGTGGATTTTGTTGATTACATTTCGTTAAAAGCGCCAAATTTTGTGAAACGTAGGAAGTTTTTGGGAAAGTTGGTGCGTAACGTTTGCGCGGGTTTCATGATCAGTTTAAAGTTCACAGACCTGCTAGGACGCACGTAACACAAATAAATTGCCATTAATCGTAAATCGCTTTCTACTTTGTAAATTTCTGACGATTTTGAAATGCGATCAGTACACGTTTTGGCCTAATGTTTCTTTCAAGAAATTTAATTTGGGGCAACGAACACCAACAAATCATCGGTGACGTAATTTATTGGATATTTATTATTACTTGACATTTTTTTAAAAATTGTTTCTCTGTTTGTTTGCTTTTCAGCTTGTTGTTTCAGATTCAATGGCTTTTCTTTTATATATTTGTGTTGTCTTCTGGCTATTCCTCTTTTACCTAATCCATCAAGAGGTTTGAGGGTTTTTCAATTATATTATTAAATTAATACTCGCCGAATTAACATGTATACTAGAGAACCGTCTAGACGAGTTATCTCTCAGATGAATAATTGGCTAGATTTCAATTCGAGAGACGAATTTAGATAATTAATCGTTTGTTTTAACCCTTTAAGTCCGAAGAGTGGCCATTATTAATTTTCTCCAAAGAGTATCAATACATCATCAGAGAAAAGTTTATAAGAGTTCTGAGAATGATCACCAAAGGGAAAATGCTTAGATCTTTGCTCAAATGCTCTCAATCGATCAATCCTTTATTTGATAATGCAGGTTAGTCTACATGTGAGGGCAGCCAAAGGCTGATGTGGACCTGTGAGAAGATGAAGTCATCTAACTAATAAAATTAAAAAAATAATAGTAATAAAAAATATTTTCCTGAGATTTATTAATAAGAATTTGGTAAAATAAATGCTAAGATGCTAAAATTAAACAAAATCATCTTTCTTATTTGAAATCATTATTGCTTCTTTACTAAAAAAGAATTGAAATAAATCTTTTGATTGCTTTCTTATAATGGTTTTAAAAGCGTCTTTGCTAATGTTGCTAAACTTAACCTTCTTATTGATAAAATTCCAGATTACCAGACCTCTGTATTGAAAAGAACTTCTACCAACTTCAGTATTTATTCTAATGATATTGAATTGGTTACTAAATCTTGTTGGTCTAGATGGTTTAGAAAATAGCCCTGAGATTTGACTAGGGGCAGATCCCATAAGGATATGGAACATCTTCAGTAGGATGTGTCTTTTATAGATATAATCAATAGGAAGCCAGTTAATTCGGGAAAGGCATAAGTCATCTTCTATCGTAGAATGCAGGTGATTGATTATACGACATGCACTTGCGTGTATATGATCTAGGCTGTGAAGATATGATTGAGATCAATTCCCCCACACTGATATTGCATAACCCTTTAAACCCAATATCCACCAGCAAATTCTCCAAACTGATCTCTATACATTTCTTTAAAGAATAAGTTGAGAGAATTTGACAAAAGATCAAAGCATTTTCTCTTTGGTGATCATTTAATTAATTCTCATAACCTAATCTCTTGACATTGTATAGATATTGTTAGGAGAAAATTGATGTTGGTCACTATTGGGACTTAAAGGGATAAGTGATACTGGGTATGATTGCTTTAAAAATTACATTTCTTCTGAAGCTGACTGAGGTAAGTATGACATTCTTCTTAAAGCACCCACTTTTTGTGACTCCCAGACAAGTTTTAGTATCAACAAGTTTCATTTATCCATCACCAGAATGAATGCCTTTTATGGGTAGAGTAGGACCAACAAATTCCTGTTTGCTCAATATTATGGCTTCAGTTTTTGAAGGACGAATAGTTAGTTTGTTTAAAGAGCTGGAATTGAATATCGGCAAAAAAAGCAATGGTACAGAGAACACCATTTCCCAAAATCTACTCATTAAAATTTTGTGATATTTGGCAGAATTTTTACTTTTATTGTATTTTAAATAATGATGACTTTTGAGACACATTTAATAATTATAGTACAATTATATTACAATGTATTGATTATCTAAAAATCTGTCTGTTAAAATTTTGTCAAATAAGTTTCAAATGGTAATGATTAATAGTAACCTGTGTGCAAGTTTATAGGAAAATCTAATGAGCGAATTTTATGTAAACTGAGCAAAAGTGAAATTTTAAGGTTGTAGTCAATCGTTCATTTTGCCACGGAAACTACGAAAACGTCACATTTTAC